TACCTGAAGCCTAATGTGGGGGTGAACACGGGCCACGAACTCTTCTAAGGCGCGAGCCTGCTGCATTGCTGTATCTTGACCAGGTGTGGCAGCGCGCACTAACCTGAAAATTCGATCTGCAAACGCCGAAGTTGATTCTCCAAGTTTTTGCTTGCATTTCGCTAAAGCTCGTCGTGCCATATTTCGAAGGTGTGGTCCCTCGTAGCAACTCTTGAGATGGGCCACTACTGCATCATAGTCCTCCCGTTGAGCGGGTGTCAGCTCCTCGATTTTTCTCGAGCTGCACCATCAGGAAGGGCTATCAGATGAGAGGCCTTGAGCTTTGGGGATAGCGGGGTATGGCGCGTGTGGATATCTTCAAAACGGCGCAACCATACTGAGAAAGGAGTAAGGTCTCCGCTATTCGCGAAACCACTCGCTGCTACCAGTGAGCGTCGCCCAGCGGAAGCGGCTGGCTACTGACAAGACTACAGTGTTGTGATAGAATGTACATTATCTATCGAATAGGAAGCTATAGGAAACGTGAGAGGAGTGGATCTTGGACTTGAGAGGATGAGTGTGTGGTTGATATCGGGGCAACCGCCCCAGGAGAGAGAGTGAATGTCGTTGGAGCTTCCCGCGTGCTCGATGTGACTGGTTATATACCTTAACGTTATCATAGCACATCATCTCCGAGAATATGGGAATCACTGTTCTCATAACAAACAAACAATAACATCGGATAATATCCCAAGCAAAGAGCGCGCGATAACATTCCAGTACAAAGAGCGCTGCTCTTACAACATCATCCCTGCCATTTGCATCAGCACAATGAGTATTGTGGACGAAGCATTGTTGCAAATTGCTGTCAAATCTTTGATATTTTGTGATACCAAAAGCAGATTTTTCCTGATTTTAGCAATGAACTATGTAGTCACTCAAATTTATCAAAATGATTTATGCTGTTGAATACTTAAAGGCAGTGTCCCGGCAGATTTTGCACCTCCACCTTTTTGCATGTTTTAGGCCTTTTCGCCACGTAGAATCCGAATTTAAGCTTTGAACGGGCTGAGAGGGCCGATTTTGGGGCGTTTTCCTAATTCCAGAAAAGCAGCTCGGACGAAATTTTTGATGGAAAGTTGGGAGAGGTCCTCAGACGAAGGTCCTGCCGCCTGTAATTCTTACTTTGGATAGCATGCATCATGGGGGAGAGCGCTCGTGGGATCCCGCGCCGAACAGGCGGGGAAGGCCGTCCAAGCGCGCGCCAAATGAGGTTGCGCGCGCCGGTTCAAGGACCATTTTCTCGGCCCAGGGGAAACATCACCCAGCCGGAGTGCGCCTGGAGGGCGATGGGATGACCAGGAACCCCACCACATGTATATCCCCCAGGACCCGAATCTGCCGGGACATGCCTTCAAGGAGAATAAATTTTCAAGTGATTTTGTCCAAATTATCATCATGGTTATGTCGAAAAAGAGCTATGCGTGTGAACTCAAAAGGACTCTATTTCAGAACATATTCGACCTTTCACTTTTCTGTTGATGGCATAAAGAAGTTGATATGGAGCGCCTCAATTTTATACAATTTTATACGGGATTCCTCTGCGAAACTGATAATGCTTTTAGCAGAACGTCATGTCAATGCACATTTCAAGCTACAGTCTGAGAGTCTGGCGAAGCCGGACGATTAGACTGGTCTATCCATAACTCGGACTCCTTCCGAGTGCTGCTTGAAAATTTAGAAAAATTGTGAAACTTGAGTTTTTCAAAAGGCATGGGACGCAGACTTTGGTAATTTTTAAAGAGCTGTTGAAAACTATGCAATGATCTTATAAATGTTAGAAAGGGAATGATATGCTGTATTAAATGCTATCAAGATCTTTTACAAATCTACGTTCCACGAGATGTGGTACATATTGAGAAAAAAAGCGACATTACTTTCGGAACGACCTAATATTTTCAGAATCCAGTATCCGCAAACGATATTGTAACGTGACTACTACCATACCCAACGAAAACTACAGAACTACGCGAGGAATATTTTCCTCTTACCTTTTCGTAAATCTTTTGACTGTACCCTAGAGCATTCCTTGTTTTAAAGCAATCATTCTTTAAAGTTTGCTTTTTGGAATGCGCAAATTCTTTTAGAAAATTTCCTCTGTTATCTTACTAGGGAAGGCACCTAACTTAGCTGGGCTTTTGGAGGAAAACATATTTTGGATCAGCTTTAAACGTTGATTTTGAATATCCTATTCCTAGCTGCGGCGCATCAATCTGGGACTTTTTTCCTTTGCAAAATTTGCATGCTCATGCACTTACTGGCGTCACGATATCATCATCTAAGTGCTAATACTCTTGGTCAAGCCTTATCAGTAATAAAAGATTCAAATTGATGTTATTTCGATAATCCAAAATCTTTTTCGTGTTGATCTATACCTAAAAAAGTTTCCCCTTGTTGGGTAGTATGTCAATTACAGTAAGATGTGTACTCGCTTCAAATAATGTGCCACAGCCAGGTGACATATTTGTGATTAGCATTTCAAGCTGATTCAGGAAATATATGTCGGAAACCTTTTGCAGCAAAATAGAAGTGCAAATTATTTGAATAGCTGTAAGAGGACTTTTCTCGGTAGCTTGCACTGAATTTTGGCACCTAACTTCGAGTTTCATGATTCGCAGCCCTGTTTCTTAGTCAGGCATTTTAACTATCGATGATAAAACTCTTATCTGATAGGTCACCCCCACGAAATGGCTGTCAGCCCACTTCAGCTAGACACCTTTTTTGAGAAGAGCTTTCCTTCCTACAATCTCACAAAAAAACTTCACTCCTATCGCCTGCCCTTTATATTAGGTTGGACCGAAAGTTCTTCGCACCAATTTCAAAAATTCATAACTTCTGATTTTTCCAACCAATTTGACTGCATTTATTTTTATATGAAAAAGTATGTCATGCTTTTTATAACGCTTTATGATCATCTGCTGCTAATAGGACCGGCAGGAGAAAATTAGTCAAAATTCAAATTTTCTGCGTAGGGTCATAAAAAATCGGAAACTTGCAATAAAAATCGGAGCAGTCGCTATTGTAGGTTCTTTTGAAAAGTTTGTACTGATTGAGCGTCTCTGTAAAATGTTATGATCTCCCCAAAAAATGTCAAAATAAATAGAAAGAGGCCCGTAGTAAACCTCCTCTCAGCTCAGATAATCTGCGCTGACCCCCCAGAAGAGATCCGTAAGCTAATCTTCCGATCCCCTTGCTACAATGCACTGAGAATGGACGATGAGCTGACAGCCATGGGGCCGGTCAGCTGCCGCAATGAGCTGCGCTGCCTGTCCTAAGCTAGCCGTCGCTGTCGGCCTGGCTTACGGAGATAACGTGTCTGCAAGGAGGCGCAGACACAAATCCCGTAAGTTGTTCGTGAGTAACTTACGGGACACGTCAGCTGGCTAATTCTGCGAACGATATTGCCCGAAATTGCACAAATAGGGTGACGTACGGATGGGGATGATCAATGAACAGCTGATCGCAGCAAAATGGGATATCAAGTTTTTTCTACATATTTCGTTGGACTATGTCGATCAAATCTTTCATATTTTTCGAAAAATGCTTAAGGTAAAAGTCAAACTCTCTCTTTATCTTCAAAAATCATGATTTTTTGTGGATGTTAATGCTAAGTTATCAAATCTGGTTTATGTCCTCGTTTGCGCAGCAAAGACAGCGCCCACCATTGATTTTTTTTTGATACTGGCTGCTATCAAAGATTGCCCTGGCGATATAGCAAAAATGTCGGCACCTGCAGGTCGCGAACCTTCGTGCTGCCGCGTGTATCACACTAACTTTAGCCATATGACCAAACCTGCACAATCTTTCCAGCTGTTTTTTTTGAGAACACGCAGTTTCTATCATGCCTACAAAACAATCCGCATCCGAATCGATGGCTCGTTTGAGATCGCGCTAGGGCACCGTAAGGCCAACCTAGGCTCACCTCAGAGGAGATGTACTGACGGGGGGTTTACTAGGGGCCAGAGCTGATGAAAGAACCTACATCGCCGTCTGCTCCGATTTTTGTTGCAAGTTTCCGATTTTTTATGACCCTACACAGAAAATTCGAATTTTGACTAATTTTCTCCTCCCGATCCTATCTATGCAAAAGATGGACAATAGCAAGCAGCTAAGATGCCGTTATAAAGAACTTGACTTACTCTTTCATATAAAAATAAAAGCACTCAAAATCGGTTTGAAAATTTAGAAGTTATGAATTTTTTAATTTGGTACGAAAGAACTTTCGGGACGACCTAATACAATGTACCTACGCTTACTCTTCTTCAACATTTCTCTCTTGGCAACGCGAGTTCAATAGCATACAAAACATCTTGACTGAATGATCGATAAACATGGCCGATGGCACTATATTGCAATGAAGACAAAAAAATGAATGAAAAAAATTTTTTTGCTCAATGCAGTAGTGCACGTCATATTTGCATCATGTGAAATCAAACATCGCATCGCAGCTATGGAAGCTTGAACATTTGTAGATAAGCGGATCAGTACTATGACTCGCTAATTTTTAGTGCTTTTTATGGGCTTTTTTGAATTCTTCTTATTTTTTTGGGATTTTTTTGACTTGTTGTTTCTCTTCTTCTGCTGTTTCTTTCCCTTCTTCTTCGTCTTCTTGCTCGTCACTACTTTCTTTGGCGGCACTACCGCGCGCGCTGGTGCTGTCGATGTTGTTGTTGTCGATGTTGTTGTTGCTGTCGATGTTGTTGTTGTCGACGTTGTTGTTGTCGATGTTGTCGTTGTGGGTGTAGTTGTTGTCGGCGTCGTAATTGTGGTCGAAGTGGTTGTGGTTGTTGTTGTCCTACTTTCCGGATCTACTGAAAATTCATGGATTCAATTTGTAGACTTTTCAAGCACACAGCCTAGTCCCACTCTGAAACCCAAACGCAAAATTCTGTAAAAGTATATTTGACAACTTCATGAAGCAAGCCCGCTTCTGCTGAGTAAGTGTTGCTTTGGAATGTCTACTATTTTACAGCACAAATTGTGACAAGAGTCTGTTTTATTTGTCTATCGATTTTCAGCCCAAATAATCGTTTATTGTATAAGAAGAACTCACCATGCCGATATTTGATGGTATATCTGCTCGTATCTGACATCTTTGTGAAAGTAATTATAGGAACGAGGTTATGCTTAGACTCAAACACGAGGCCGATTTGAGATTTATGGCATATTCTTAATTAAAAGAATAAAACAGAGAAGCTGGTTGCCCCATACCTATAACCAGTGAGGGTTTGATCGTCGTTAGCTTTTATCTCAATTCCAGCGGCACGACAGCCTTGGGGAGAGTAAGGGTAGTCTTCTATAGTACTAACCCTTATGTCGATGGCGGTACCATTGGGAGCCTATAAATGTCAATTGTTTACCAAAGCAATGAGCATAATTGTGCACAACAAACTCCTCACTTTAATCCACCAATAACATTTTTTAAAGCCGTCCAGCCAATCCCACCGATCGTTTGCGAATTCAAACGTGTGTTTCTGATATTTCTGCGTTGCATTCAATATTCCTCCGCAATTGTTTTCATTTGGCTGAAACTTTGTTCTAAGCAGATTTAACAAAAGCAGAATCCCCACCCTTTCATTACAGGAATCTCCTCCAAAGCCGCTAGGGCACAGACATTTTGAACAGTTGCGCGGATGTTCATATCCTCCGTTGTCACATTTTACCACCCTTCGCTGCTTTAGGCACTTTTCTGAAAAATACTGCACATTAGGGTGTATATACACTGATTTCATGAATGATTTGTTGATCTAATGCAGCTGCTGATCTGTTCAGCACAGCTAACAGATTCATAGCCTTATGCAGAGATAGTCTCACGTCTACAACCATAGCGATTATTTATCATAGTAAAATCGTTGAAGGATACGATTTCTGATCCTAATGTGTAGTTGTATCTCCCATCCAAAGGCATCATAGCCGGATCGTCCCAGCTGCCGTAGTAGCTTAAAAAAATTATCGAAACAAGGTAACTCAAGAAAAGGCTTACTCAGTCATTGAGTATTGCATAATGCTTCCATAGTCGTATCCTAGATTGTAAGTTTCTACTTCCTCTTTAGTATAATTACGAAAGTCAAAGTTTGTCTAAAACACAAAAAAATTGATAAAATTCTTTTGAACTCGTTAGAAACCTACATCGGGATCGACGTCTACAAACACTTTGACGTATTTATCCCTATCCGGCCTTTCATGTGTGTGCACCAGTCCCAACGCGTGTCCCAACTCATGGGCTATGATTCCGTATTCACATGCCGGTGCGAGATATATTCTTTGGTCCGGATATCCGGTTTTTCCAATAACAGAAGCGCACCTTGATACATGCCATTTGACAAGAACGGAAGCTTTGTTTGGCGGACCTAAGTTTTGGAGTACGAGTTCGATATTTTTTTACACTGCATTGTGGCTGTAATAATGACATAATTGCTTCACACATTTGGCTTATTCTTTTCATGACACTGCATTCCTTTCCGCGAAGCCTGATGAAAGTCGCAACTCGCGTCTAATCGCACCTATTACTTCCTACCGTTTGATGAAGTTGTTTTTAACTTTGCGCAAGTTGATTTTTGTTGCAACTTTGTACAAGTCTCGGCACTTTTCCGTTATCCGGACCCATTTTCTTAGAGAAGGATATCGCTTTTTCCTCCGTGACATATTTAGTCCCAACTTCACAGAAAAGAGTGTCAACCTTCCTCTCAATAAAATTTGACACGTTATTTACATGTTTAACAGGACCTAGAGTTTGAGTTGCCCTACCTAGCAACGTAAGTTCAGTCTGTTTTTTTAGGCCCGTATGCAGGTACATCCCCGCTGGGGAGGGGAGGGGATCTGAGAGGGGATGCTTCATATCTCGCTACTTTACGTATCTTTCTTCTTCCTTTTCTATCTTGCTTATAAAGGTTCTCATACCCTACTACCTGCGCATAATCGATGCCAGGTTACAGGCATAACTGATTAGATTTGTACTATTTTGTGTGATCCCCTGGGGATCCCCAGGGGATCACACAAAATAGTACAAATCTAATCAGTTATGCCAGTAACAGGGCATCAATTATGCGCAGGTAGTAGGGTATGAGAACCTTCATAAGCAAGATAGGAAAGGAAGAAGAAAGATACGTAAAGTAACGAGATATGGCGCATCCCCTCTCAGATCCCCTCCCCTCCCCAGCGGGGATATACGTGCATACGGGCCTTAGTCAATAGTGGCCCCCCCCCCCTTTTGATTACACATTATCAAAAATAAACGTTGTTATCATATTAAGTCATTCTGTTATTAATAAACGGATTAGACCTCACAGAATAGAGAAATACGCCAAGGTCCCATCGTCTAAGTGACAAACCAGTACTAGCGAGGCCATTTTTAGTCTCGTTTTAAATTCGCTAGGCAAAGTTTGAAGAGAAAGACAATGATGAATCATTGCTAAAAACGATGAAGATCTTCTAACATAAGTTCTAGATTGTTTTGCTCTCACAGAAAACAATTAAACAGCTTTTAGGTGATCACACATGCCCCTTGACCTCACAGGAAATGATTTTGAGATAAAACATGTCAATATGGAGGACCAAAACGAATCAATATTTTCCTGACACGTAACAGAGGGCAGTCCTCGTGAAATCTTCAAAGATTGTGGTTGGATATAGAACGCGTTCATGAGAGCCTTTTGAAAACATGGGTCCGGATAACGGAAAAGTACCCAATTTTCTGCTCTTTGATTAAATAATATGCTAACATACTGTGTGCAATTTCCGTGAAGTTAACGCACGTGTTCTCTTCCCAAGTTCTTACAGCTTTTTTGAACTCGTTCTTCATAAAATCACCTGAAAATACGTGTCGGTACTCAAGGTCTTGCAAACCTACCTTCATAAACAATTTGACTTATTTGTATAAGCCGTTAATTAAAGTAGAAATTCTCTTTCTGCCATCTTGTCTTTTTTCATTGCAAACACTGAGGTTCACTGCGATTGATGCCGAGAACGGCGCAGTTGTCACAATGAATTGGTTTCAGTATATATCACCGTTAAAATTAGTAATCACCATGCTTTCTATGAAAAAAAAATATTTATTGGGTAAGATAATCTTCTCTTGAATGTAATTGAGAAGTTTTCGGACAACGGAACAACGTAGCCCTCTCTTGCCCCTCTCTCCCCTCCGTTCCTCTTTTCACCACCTTTTAGAAGGATCTGCGGGAATCGAACGATTATTAGACACTGATATTTTTGATTGCCTCGAATGTTGGATATTTTTGTAGCAAAGAGAGGAGGGAAAATTACAAGATGCGCCTAGTGAATTTCGCATTTCGCGCATTTTCACATCTTCGAAAGCTAATCTTTGATGCAAGCGAGGTGGGCTTGCCTCAAATGAGTTTTGCTGGTTTCTGAGACAAGTTTCGTGATTTTTTAAACATTATTCAAAGCATGCAAGATGGAGTCGTCAACTGAAGGCAAAGACTAGGCTTTGCACAAGACCATTTGCCATATACTCAGCTAGATAAAGCATTTAAATTGAACAAACTTAATGCCTTGATGTGAGAGCCGCATGGATGTACAAAAAAATCGTGCAAATATGAATGTCACCTATATAGAGAGTCATACTGAAAGTTACTAGGTCGACAATTTTTTTTTCAGAATTCTGTTCAGTTTTGGACCAAATTGCAATTGGGGTAGTTAAATGACCATCACTATCATACCAACATTTGAAAATTTGAAAATTTTTGAAATCCCTCATTTAGCTTCAAATCGTCTATCTGGCCATTAGCAATATCCCGGTTTTAAGGAACTGCAAGCAAAATGTTGTGAGAGTGCAGACACCAGCAAAACTTCAGTGAAAACTAGGTTCCCCTTACCTAACCCCTCAAATCGATAAGGAAGTCCTTCTTTCCAATATTTTTCTGTTATCAAAACTCCTCGTTTTGCACGGGTCTGATGATTGTTGGGTCCGACATCAGCGTGGATTCCATATATTCTGAAAGCATTGCATTTGCAGGGCAAAATCAGCACTGTGCGCTAGACATTATACCTGTTTATCGGAAGTAATGCGGCAGAGATAAAGATTGCAATTAGCACGACCATGATTCTTTTTTGCTAAAAAAGTATAATAGAAAGGGAAATGACTTGAGCTCTGAAGAAGTTTTAGACAATTCCAAAAAGATCAAATGTAGAGCCCCGAACTAGAAGGATACAGTTCACCTGAATTGTTCAATCGCAGCAAAAGGTAACTCTCGCTTGTCTCATGCTTTTTCAAAGATTACCTTCGTATGTGCTTTTACTAACTGGTAGACATAGAACCTTGCTTCTTGCAATTTGCTGCTTTATTCTCTTTTCTACAAAACGGTTTGACAACGTTGCTTGTGTTGGCGGTTACAGCAATGAGAATTGAGTTTCATTTTTTGAATTTATGAGAAGTATTGATCAAAGCGAATCAGAAGATAATGCAAATTTTGGGTTATGGATTTTACGCTGGTTAGAGATGACTACATTATATTGTCGTGTTATATTACCCCATTCAAGTGCCGACAGAAACGCTGTAATCAGAAGGCTCAAAAGGTTGCAGAACGAGATTCCAGTCTCCCCAAATCTTGCAATTTTATTTGCTGCTCCCTGACCCGTAAAAATTACCCGTTCACACATATTGCTATTGTTGCCATGCCATAGCTTCTTTCTTCTTCAAGATATTGGGTTCATAGTAAACCCCATTCGTCTTAACTGACTTGAGATGAGTCACTCAGAAAATCTTTTTAGGTTGAGATTAAGAACGCCCACCTCCCGCGCTTCTATACTGTCATTTGAACAGTGAGGAGACCGTCCGGTCAAGTGTCAGGTTAGTTCAACAACATGCCACTAAGGTGAGGTTAAATGCTACAGTGAACCGAGCGAGATAGTGTGCAAAAGAGGAGAATCAGAAGAAATTTTCCGCATAATGTCCACTCATTTGTTAGGCGACATCCTTGATAGCGGTCATCATCGAATTTTTCAAAGTAGCCGCTGTCAAAGGCTGCCCGGCAGTGCCGCCAAATTCGTCATTAGCTTCGAATGGCATTGCCCTGAATCTTAATTACTAGTGAAGAAAACACTTAACCAGACCTGCTCAAGTGTTTTTTTTTTGAGGAAGCACAAGACTATTACGATTGAGAGACGATGCGCATCCTGATCAGTAGCTTACTGGTTGCCGGACTGAGGGGTACTACGTTCAACGTTGTAGGCCTGCCCCAATCGAGTTGTACCTAACAGGGTTACCATGGGTCATCAAACTGTGCATGTTTCGTCTTTTTGGATTCTCTCCATATCTCAAAAATCATCAGGTGTGGTAAACTTTCGTAGTTTAGCTTACACTCCATTCCGTTATCCAAAGAGTGAATACTATAATGAGCAAAAAATGCAATACGACAATTTTCACACAAAGATTTTTGCTGCTTTTTTCAATTTCGAATTTGCTAATTTTGAGCTGGGGTAGTGGAACTTGATACAGTGGTAAGTGGGTATGCTAATTACAATCTGCAGAGTAGGTCTAGCCTATAGAACTGTATAGCACTGTAAGGCCTAAGGCATACCACACGCGATTTCAGTCACTGCACGATCCGTCACTGCAACGACTCTTCATAATTATCGTATCGTAAGCGCTGTTTTTACCTGGACCAGACTTGATGACTTACGGAAGCCTCGCACCTATGCATGGTCGAGAGTTGTACGAGTGATACAAAATCTTGAATCCTAGTCCAAGTGGAAGAAACCAGCGAAGCCTATCCCAACTAGCTAAAGACATTATGTGCTGGCGGAGAGTCCCATATCAATTTCATATCTCTCTATTAGATTTCGGAATGCATTAACCCAGACAAAGAAATCTAGCGATCTGGACACACCTCGCAATGTTGTGCGGACAACACAAGCTACTTAGATAGAGAAATTATTAGTTTTGAACTTACTGTTTTGTCCTTCACGCTGAGGTTTGAATTGTAATAAGGAGAGGAGGGAGAGGGCGAGCAAACCGATAGCTTAACCTTCGAATTTGTGGAGATAGAGCCGCAAAAGTGAATGTTGTTCAAAACTCCGTCCTCCGAAACTGAAGATTGCCCAAAAATTATGTAAAGAAAGGTAAACTAAATAGCAAAGGCAAAAGAAATTGCTGAACACTGAATGAAATTTTAATTTGGCTGTGCATCGCAGGTTTTCATAAATACCCGTCAGTTCACAGACAGAGTAAACGAGAGAAAGCCAGTTTTCTATTGCGTTTGTTTCGAAACAATGACTATGTGAAAATGGTGAGTGCTATGAAGCAGATAAGCGAAAATCGAGAAGACGGGAAGTTTTGTTTCTCTAAAATCAAGCACATCAAAGCTGATCTGATTTTTGATGCGTTCTTTGATTTTTACTGCTTCTTGTCATTTTTGTTTCAGGCGATTTGGTCAGCATAGCTTTGCTCATAACGCTGAGCAAAAAACCTAAGCATAAAAAATTGTTGCGTATTCACTCAAACATAAAGAATATTAGAAACGCACCCTTCTGCTAACTTTTAACAAAAAAACGCAAAAGCAAGGAAAGAGAAAACCGCCCAATAATATTGAACTTAGAAAAAGAAGGAATTTTAAAAATGTAGTTTCCGCCAAATTTTTCGTCAAATCAAACATGTCAGTATATTAGACATCAAGAGCTACAAAGTGATATACGATTTGACGAGAACGAGTTCGAAACAACAGAGGAAAGGATAGCCAGCCGGATGCTCAGTGGAACCATCGAGGAGCAGCGAGGTAGCTGCTATACATGAAGACGAACAAAGGAGAAACAAGAGCCAAAAGGGAATTTGGTTTTGGTCATCTGTTGCAGGGCTTTATTGAGAATCTGCGGATTTTCAACAAAATTTTGCAATATTTTTATCATTCTGATCGTCAGACGTCTGACAACGTCGTCGAGTGGAAATCCACTCTGCAATGAGCTTAAGCGGCAATTCTATTTGGCTCTTGCTCAAGTTTTATTCGCAATTTTTAGCTTTTGCTGTTTCGCGTTTGCTTTACTTCTTTTGTGTTATTAAGTTTGGGAGGTTTCACCGTCGCCAACACTTGCTTCATGATGAGCCCGTAAATTTTATAAATCCTAAGTCCATAATTTTTTCTCACGTGTTTTCATGTTTTTGGATTCATGCTTTTGAAAAAAGTCATTAAAAAAAGTTGCACTGAAAAGAAAATGCTTTGACTATATGAACATACGCAACGTACAAGCACCCATTTATCCTTAGCTTGCAATTTAGAATTGGGAGTGAGCTTGGAAACTAGAATTTTGGATCGCAAGGTATGTTGAATTTGTTCAAAGTAGACCTAGGTACACATTTGCTGTAACAGTTTCAATTGTGCTTGTGACCGCGTTGATCTAGTACGTCCTAGCAAGTATGCTTTTTGTACAGGCCTTATCACTCGGCATAACATCTTGTGCATGTAATCTGTGCTGAGCCAGCCCCTCGTAGCGCGATTGCAGTACTAAAGGAACTGGTGATACAGCTTATGTGCCTATAGTAACATATCTGGTACTTATTGGAAGCACACAAGCAATACATAACACTGAATCGGCGACTTGTGGCTAATAGGTGCTGGATAGTTTTTCCTAATATGAAAGTGGAAAGGTTCACTGCCAAGGCTCAAAAGGAATTGCTTGACAAGAACAAATTAGGGCACATGTCTATGAAAATTGGTCATCGGGTTGTAAATAGATACGCTTGATGGCGAGAAACTGCACTGACGAAGACATAGGACAATCTTTCAAAGGTGCAATTCCAAACACGCCTGTGTTAAACAGCTCTTTCGGCTCCTAAACACATGCAGTATACAGATTTGAGTGATTTTAGAGTTGAATGAAGAATGATGATGATGAAGATGTAACACCACTAATCAAAATGTGATGATAGCTTTCTGCTTGCAGTTGAGCTACAAGATGCCCCTATAAAAAAGATTTCACAAAAATGAATTAATAAAACGACAACATTGTGTTTAGCGGCCCTGACGCCTGCATCCGTAGGAGACAGTCGAAGGCGCGAACGTTGCGGAGGATATTTGGGCAGGTTCCAAGAAAACTTACCAAAAAAATTCCGAGAAATTCTCAAGAAAGTAAGTGCTTGTAACTTCGCTTGGGAAAACGCTCCAGAAATAAGTGTGGCATTGTAATTTGCCTCGTAAAATAATTATAATGCGCATGTAATGAGGAAAGAAAGAAGAGCTGAAAATCATTGAATTTTATTGTAATCTCACAACTATCATCCTAAGAACATTGGAAAATACGTAAGCCAATCCAAAACGCCTTATCAATTCTCAGAATTTCACTCGAGTAATTTTTTTGTCAGGGAGTTGAAGTTGTCCGATTATTGTGCTCAACTGGAAAACTGTGTTTGATGGGAAATCTTTCCAAAGATCAAATTGGTAATTCTGTAATTTCGCGGTATCAAACCCGCATCCAAAATGACAAGCAAGTACATAGCAAAAAAGCTGAGTGCTTATGCCCTACTTACGAATTTTCGTTCAAATTCTAGGCCTTGAGCATTTGAGATCCATTTGGATCCGAAAGAATTGATTGAGAAGAGTATGACTTCTTACGGCAAAAACTCGGTAATGAAAAGACTTATGGGACAACTTAATACATCGCAAAATAACTTCGTTCGAATTAAGCCTTGAGAATTGAGATCTATTTCGATTTTTAACCTTTATGGATTCTTATGTTAAGTGGCGCAAATGAATGGCCATCTCAACTTTTGATAGCTCGCCATGGTTCAAACGCACTTCACAATAGGTTTCAATTTTGCTGGACTATAAAAGTTTGGCCGGATCATCAAACTGAATTTCAATATCTGTGAAATCTACGTCCAGACCCTTTGGATGTCAACAAAACTTTTTCACTTGCTTGATAGGCGAACCCAACTTTAGACAGTAGCAGTACTAGTTCAAGGCTTCATCTCGAGATGCTAATTCTATGTATGCCTTCCATATCACTTTATTGATAGTTTGATCGTTTTGAATCTTGGTTGATAGTTTTTAATGTTGCTTGTGATGAGCGGCACTCCAGGATTGTTAACTGTTTCTTTATAGTTTAACAGT